AGTTACAGTAACTCCCAAATGAAATGCACTTTTCTTTCATTGTCATTGGTTTTGTGTTTAAATGCTATATGAATATGTATGTAATTGGGTGAAGTAAGACAGTGAACTGAAACATTCAGCAAATCTCCTAAATGTATTGCCATGATATTTTCATAAAAAACTCAATATTGTCTTTCCTTGTTAAGTATGTTGTTTTAAATTTTAAATATCCATCGTGTAGATTTTTAAAAGGATCCCAAATGAGACAGGCACCTAACTTCAATTTTGGAGGGAGTTGGGTTGTCTTACTACCTGAGGCTCCTTTGAAATTTGCAGCCTAAAGAGGATCCTTGTAACATCAGATTGTCTTACTGTCGTAAAGTCAAAATCAGCTGTAGGTTAAGATTCATTAAAGCTGGAAATATGAAAGTGCAATAATGAACAGTGAGTGTAAGTAGAACTGGAGAGAATAGCAAATATTGCTACATCCATTTACTTCCAGGAAGTTTGTCTCTCACTTTGTTTGCTATTCACAAAATTTTAATGTAACTTATGAACACTAACATTATCTACAGGTCAAGAATTAGTCATAGAAATTACTTGACAAATAAATTGGAGGAAAATCTAAATCTGATGTCAATTTATTTATGATCAGAAGAGGCTGAATTTGTTGAATAAAGTATTTATTTTGAATTATTCAATCCACTCTAGTTATAAATTAGCATTGTAAGTGGGTTGCGTATTTTGTAACATGGCATTCTCTTTATTTTGGACATAATGTTAATCAACTCACCTTCGTTGATTAAAGTTAATGGTGGTATCCTGAAAGGACTTTTTGTAGGAGAAGTAGCTGCATCAGGTGGTGGCCTTATGTCTCTGGGATAACTTGGGTCCCTCTGTATCTCATTACCTCCTAAAAGGTTGGGAGTATAATGCTGACTGTTAGGAATGTGCTGTGGCACCACCTGAACAAGAGGAGGAGATCCGTCGGTGTCCTGTCGTGACAGCATCTGCAAGCATTGCTCTTCCAATAAAGAGATAATCACAGACTGATTATTTACAAGATCAGTTAGTGATGCATATTTTATTTCAAGCTCCCTGTAACGTGTTGCCATCTTCAGCATTTCTGTTGTAACATTGAGGATTTTGTTTTCCAGTTGGGAAAGCTCAAGTGAATTATCACGCTTTCGTATTATCTCATGCAAGAGCTGCATGTAAAGCTGAGTGACCCGGGAGTTCATGTTACGGCTTTCTTTTCTCAGCAATTTTACCTCATTCACAATATTTCCATCCACATCCACCACTAGCTGCAAGATATCAATCTCCCGCTTCTGCTTGGACAATACTTCCTTCAGGTTCTCTATGTCCATCCTTGTGATTTCATCTTTTCTGTTATCTGCTCCTAGTCCTTTGGTGTTTACACAAATTGGTCCTGTTATTTTTTGTTCAGGAACCAAGAACGTGTAACCACATTTTTTCCCTTCCTCTCCACCGTCTGTTGAACGAGGGTGTCTCTTTGGGGATATTTTATTGAGTTTAGACTTTTCTATACAGTGTCCTGTAGACAGTAGTAGGAATAACAACACACTCAAAGTCCATGTAGATCTCTTCATTTTGAGGTGAACGCAGAAGACTAATCATTGGATAAATAGAAAGAAAGTTAATATGAATCCAGTTTCACACCATGGAAGAGTACTAATTTTTACTTATGACACAAATGCAACCGAGACTTCTCTGCTATAGATATTGGCCAAGCTGACATTTTCTTACCATGTTAAATTTAATATCACAAAATTGCTTATTTATTTGGAATTACATCACACTGACCAACTTGCCTCCTTTCTTGAGGCATATTAAGACCTGAAAGATTTCAAGCAGTAGGTATTTTTTGGCTTAATTCAAATGAATAAATGTTCAGAAAACAAGCACCAGTATATTCAGGTAAAAAAGTAGGTTTTGGTCATAAGCCTGACTGCATGCACATATTTATAAATATTAAAATACAAATTGGAATATTGTAAAATACTTTTGTAGCTCCCTTCCCCAGCAAATTCTGATTTGGGCTTTCTAAAAAATCTGAAGCTGAAACTATTTTTATAATTTGTGTAATATTAGCTTTAGTACTACATATTTTATACTTAGGTCTATAGCAAGATTTATAACTAGTGGTCTTGAAGATCACTATATCATGGCTTGCATAATTTTGCAAGTACTATTAAAATGTATTCAAGAAAATTTGGTTAGTAGGAAAAGATCATGATGGGATTAGCTGTGAGATCATATGCCCTGACTTGATTAAAATGTGTCATAGCCTGTTTTCATTCATAAATGAAAACAAGTAAGTGATTAACTTTGTTTTTGTGAAACTAAATGTTTTCTTTTCTTCAGTAGGAAATTAGTTTGGGATCATTAGATGTTTAATATTGACCACTAAACATTACAGAACATTGAACCTGCAAGCGGGGACTACCCAGACTAGTTAGTGTGCAATGTGTTGCTTTACTTGAGAATATTCACACCCCATCCGTGTACATTACTGCACCTTGTGGACAAGCCCACCATTTTAATGAAAATTCTGATGAAACGGTTCATTAACAAAGCACATTAAACTTGTGAAATTTTCTCCTATAAATTTGGTTTCTACTCTGAGGTATAGTAAAACAAATATACCACAACACTACAAATCATGGTTGAATGAAATATGATAAAAGGGGAAAAACATTTCCCACAAATGGTTTTGTATTTCAAATTATATTTTCTTCAAGTTAGTTTACTTTTCACAAAACACAAGAGTTGGCTTATGAACTACATCCTGGCAGAAGTGAAGAAACAATAGGAACATACTGTTAAAGTTATGAATGCTTTTAGGTGCCCTAAAGACTATTATGGGATTTTTATTACCAATTTTTTTTTCTTAATGTATTTAAGTTTTTGTCATTATTCCAGGTAACGTGTAAACAAGCATCCCATTAATCTGTAAAAATATCAAGCATGTTTTATCAGCTGTAACTAGTATACACCTTTTTAAACATGTCACATTAAAATAACGTATTTA